GTGGCAAACCTGAACCTGAATATTCTTGGTGGATGATGAAAAGAATGATAGACTAGGCATTACCAACTATACGCGTTATATTTTATATATATATATATATACGCTTTATATATGTACTAATCTGTGGTGTACTAATCTGAATGAATATATATATATCTTCAGATTAGTACACGACAAACCGAAAAGGAAATGCAGTGTGATGTCGCGTCAACCATCGTCATGTTGGAATTTAATTTATTCTCAATTTATTATGGGAGCTCATTCCATGCGAAGACTTGTTCAACTGCTCCGTTCACCGTTTTACACCATTCAGTTCATGGGCAATTCAGTTCACGATCAATTCAGTTCAAGGGCCAATTCAGTTCAAAGGTCTATTCAGTTCAACGGTCAATTCAGTTCACGGTCAATTCAGTTCACGGTCAATTCAGTTCAAAGGTCAATTCAGTTCAAAGGTCAATTCAGTTCAAAGGTCTATTCAGTTCGTGTTCAATTCTGTTCATGGTCAATTCAGTTCATAGTCATTTCGGTTCATTGCTTAATTCAATTTATGGGCACTCAGACTCTGTACAATTCTCTTAAACCCTCCTCCCCCCCCCCCCCCCCCATTCTAAATGGAATATTCCCGTTAATTCTCATAGTTTCGTAAAAAAAACTCGATCCCATATCTCGGGAGAATGGATAAAGAGGTTCTTTTTTTTTTTTTTAAAATGTAGCCTTCATTATTAAACCAAAAATATGTAGAGATGTAGAGATGTGATCAAATTTCAGGTCTCTTCAAGTTATTTGGGGGGGGGGGGTTATCGCAATTTTAAAAAAAACACGTAAAAGTTACATGTGTGATTTCCTACGCAGCTCGCCAAGGGTTAAAATGGCAAGGTTTCAATGACAGGTTTATAAGTCAAGGGCTCTAAGATATACGCCACATTCCGAATGTCCACGAGGTGGTCTATTGTAGGAAGTTTAATGTGATGGAAGTTAAACATGTGGCAAGAAAATGTTCAGAAAGTATAGTTGAAACCTGTTCAAGTCTTATTGCTTTATTGTTTTTAAAAGCAAATTATTGCATTTGATCATAGAACAAGAGAAGATAACGTGCTTCCGTTGCCATGGAGACGGCGTCAAAGGATGTGACGTGTTGGACATGTTGAATGACGTCGATGGCTTCTCGTCCAAGTGTGTTGGGAAATGCATGAACATCTCATCAGGTGGGTCATCACAAAGTACAGCCGATATCTTCAAGCTTAACAGATACCTTCAAGTATAACCGACACGTTCTAGAATAAAGGATACTCTTAAGTAAAACCGATACCTTTATGGTAACCGATACCTCAATGTATAACCAATACCTTCATGTATAGCGACATATATTTAAGTATAACCGATATGTTCAAGTATAAACGATACTTTCAAGTACAACCAATACTATCAAGCAGTGGCGTCCCCCCCCCCCCCCACCCAAAAAAAAAAAAAAAAAAATCAAAGGTCAATTCAGTTCAAAGGTCTATTCAGTTCGTGTTCAATTCTGTTCCTGGTCAATTCAGTTCATAGTCATTTCGGTTCATTGCTTAATTCAATTTATGGGCACTCAGACTCTGTACAATTCTCTTAAACCCTCCTCCCCTCCCCCCCCCCCATTTCCATTGTTTCAGCCACATTCTTTGATGCCCCAGGCGGGGTGTTTTGATTTTTCTGAGTGTTTAATCCACGGCCGCGGCATCCAGTTTTTGTAAAGAAGATTTTTTCATTGTCTTTAAAAGGACAGGAGACAAGTGGTGATGATCTCGCCTTCTCGGCGGAGAAAATGTAATTTAGCTTCATTTTGGGTGTTCTATAATGGCCTAACCCTTGTCAGACGGCGTGCGTTTACCACCTCAACAGACGGCATAGGTACAAGTGTAACTTCACATACTTTATAGGAAAATACACGGTGTAAGCAGTGGCGTAGGAAGGGAGGAAGCGGGGGGGGGGGGTTGGGTCCCACCCCCGGGCGGCGCGTTTTTCTTTTTATAAGGGGGGGGACTTTTCGGGCAAAGAAACTCTTTTTTTTTTTTTTTTTTTTTAA